GACCTGTTGGCTTTTCCTCTCACTTTCCCTCTCTCTGTGTCTGCCTCTCTCTGGTGAATTTAATAATAATACATAAAATTATATAAGTAATTCTTTAAAAAAAATCCATAATAATTCATTTTTTATTTATTATCAAATTTGACCAGAGAGAGACCTAGAGAGAGAAAGAGAGGGAGTGAGAAAGTAAGCTACCGGGTCTAGGACTCGACCCTCCGTCGGCCACGTGCGAGTTCAGCATCTTAACCACCATGCCACCTGACCCCAATAATTCTTAAAAACGATAATAACATGCATGACATGGGTTGAGAAAAGAGGATGAAACAGTTGGAGTCATCTCCCAGGGACTGAGAACAGGGTGCCTGCCAGGTGACGTCAGAGGTCAGGCGATCTCCGGGAGAGGGGCCGGGAGGTGGCAGAGCAGGGCAGAGCCAGGGAGCACTCACCATCTCCCAGAAGTACATGGCCATCTGGCCTCTGTTCAACAGCAGCGCCCAAAGGAACAGTTCACTCCAGGGGGGCTGCCCATGGTGAATGTCCTGCGACCCTTCCCAGGCGGCCTTCTCCGAGAGCAGAGAGTCCTACAGACACGGGAGGCTCGTGAGGACGGCGCGGCCCCACCCCACCACCTGCTTGGGCACAGCCCCCTCCTCTGGCCACGTCCCTCCCCGGTGGTCAGACCCTCCCCGAGTCCCCGGCCTGGCCTGGCCATTACCCTCTCCTTAGCCTCGCCTAGACTGGGGTCCCCGGCGCCCCCAGTCAGGTATCTGGGCGCACAAGTCTCCCCCAGCAGCATCTTCAGCATCTGCTCCACGTCACGGGGCCGGAACCTTAGGACACGCCGTTTCAGGGCCTGCGCCTTGGTGCCCGCCGCGTGGGACGCCTGGTACAGGAGGCTCTGGATGAGCGGGGGCGCCACGCCGTAGAGCTGGGCCACGCGCGCCGTGGTCAGGAAGTGGCCCACGCTCAGGCCGTGGGAGATGAGCAGGCGCACGAACTCGGGGCGGTCATTCAGCAGCGCGTCCATGAGCGAGGCCTCCAGGTGGAAGGACTGGCGGGGGCGCCAGGGAGAGGACGGGGCAGACAGAGGCCAGGTGAGCGCGAGCGTAAGGAGGGGCTGCAGGGCTACGAGGCTGGGTGGGTCGCTGGGAAGGGGCAACAAGATGGGGACAGGGAGGGCAGGCCCAGGTGTGCGGGGGAAGGAGGGCATCCCTTGTCAGACTCCCCAACCCCCCGGGCCCTGACCCCGTACCCGCCACTGGATGTCACCCCGGAAGAGTTCACTCTGGGCAATGTCCACGCGGTTCCAGGCCACGGCCAAACGCAGCTCGTCCAGGTAGGCCGAGGCCTCAGAGCTCCCGCAGGCTGGAAGGGCGAGAGGGAGAGGGACAAGTCAGGGGACCGGTGGGGACATCCGATGAGCTTCGCTCTGGTCACCTGATCCCTGACACCGGCTCTGTATCCGCGGACGCTGCTGGGCACTCAGGCCTAAGCTTCGGTGGGTGCTGGCAGGTCCGGCCGCAGCACGGCCCCTGACTTCCCGCCCTGGGAAGGGAGACACGTATTCATTTGAGGTTTTATGAATGGACCAGACGATAAGGATGGAGAGCGAAGCTGGCTCCAGTCCCGCCCAGAAGGAGCTCGTTCCTGAGGGAACTGCGAGACTTTAAAAGGTTGTGGGAAAATGGAATTGACATACGAGTTTATTTGGTGCCAAAGGAAAAAGAAAGAGAGAAATCTGTACAGTTTTTCATAGCACGTTTTCCATGAGTTTTGAAGACCCGGTCGTACATCCTGAACACACATAACACACTCCCAGTGCCCACGTGCTCTGAGGAGGGCCCAGGGGCAGCCATGTCACAGAGGTGTGGGGTGACCCGAGAGCCACCTAGAGACGGGGCTTTGGGAAGAGTACTAGAATTTGGAGATGTGTGAGGAAGGTGGGAAAGAACCTCTGAGCAAAGGCCTGGAGGTAGAAAAATACAGGATGGGGAGGGGGATGAGCAGGTGGCATGGTGGTTAAGGCTCTGGACTCCCACATGGACAACTGAGGTTCGAGTCCTGAACCTGGTGGTTTGCTTTCTCACTTTCCCTTTGTCTCGCTTCTGTCTCTTTCTGGTCAAATTAAAAAATAAATATCAGGGACCAGCAGGTGGCATGGTGGTTAAGGGTGCTGGACTACATGTTCGACTGCGGTTTGAGTCCCAGATCTGGCGGCTTGCTTTCTCACTTTCCCTCTCTCTCTCACTCTGTCCCTCTCTGGTCAAATTAAAATAAATAAATAAAATTAAATAAAATAATTCTAAATAAATCAATACATAATAACAAATAAAATTATTCACATGAATAATTCTTTAAAAAAAGAACACGGGATACGATTACAAACCTAAGTCACTCAGATGTCGGAGATTTGGGGCGTGCTGTGAGAGGGAAGGGGGGACAATAGATGTGGTTGGAAAAACAACATTAGAAGGCTCTAGGAGAGCCTGGAGGTCATCAGAGACAGGGAGGGCCGGCCCAGTCACACCGCAGTAAGCACTGAGCAGAGGAAGGCAGGGCCCCGTGGCCGGCCAGGGCCCACCCGGCCCATCCGGCCCACCCGGCCCGGCATGCTGGCACGTGCACGTGTGCCCAGGGTCCTGCTGAGGCGGAGAGTGGGAGGAAGAGGACTGCGGCGTGGCCAGGTCCAACTGCGAGGTGTTCTCCTCTCCCTTTCTCTGGTGTACACACACACACACACCCTCAGGCATTTGAAAAATATATATATATACCAAAAGGGAAAAATAGAGGCTCGTAATTTCTTTTTTAATATTTATTTACGATTGGCCATGTGGAAATCCAGCGCCCCCAACACCACGCCACCTGCCAGCCCCTAGTTATATATATTTTTAATTATTTATTTAATTTTATTTAGTCATTCATTTATTTTAATTTAACCAGAGAGAGAGAGAGAGAGGAAGTGAGAATGCAAACCGCCAGGTCCAGGACATGGTCGGCCATGTGGGGGAGTCCAGCACCCCAACCAGCATGCCACCTGCCGGCCTCACCCCCTAATTTTTTTTAATTGCCAGAAGACATATGAACTTGCCACAGGGAAACAGAGAGACAGAGACAGGGATGGGGGATCACCTCTCAATGGGGTGTGGTCAGCTACAATCCTTCCTCCATTTCTCCACCCTGTTGGGATTTGGGACACACACACGCTGGGATGTTTTCTGCCAGTCACGGGTTGGACTTCAGAACGCTGTGGGCCATGTGGGATCTGGCTCCCCTAGCCACTAGGCTTCAGGGCTCATTGTTTTTTAGAGAGAGATTTTTGCTATAGGGCATGTACACTCACCAGAGAGACAGAGAGTGAGAAATCAGCCCCCGGGGATAGCTTTGTCACAACCCCTTCTCCGTTCTCCTCTCAGGATTTTGGAAATGCATGCACATGTACCCAGCGTGAGTTTTAAGCTGCCGGGTCCAGGCCTCGAACTGAGGTCGCCTATGTGGGAGTCCAGCGATGTAACCACTACACCATCTCCTGGTCCCAAGGGCCAAATTTTTGATCCAGCTATTTAATGGCTCCAGATGTGAGGCATGGAAGTCCCAAAGGGCATTTGCGCCATGGGGTTCGTTTTCCCTTCTGCCGCCACTCGCTCCACATCTATCTCCGAGGCAAATGCATCTCATTTTGATCATTGCAGAATCATCGGAGTCTCACATAGTGGAGGTGCACACTGGGTCCTGGGTCCGGAGCCGGCAGCCCAGGGTTCCAAGCCCAGGTCTGCCCATGCCAGGCGAACGGCTTCAGGCATGACCCTGAACCACAGGGCCCTCCGCGGCCTCATCCATCAAGGTGAATAATGGACCCCCAGGTGGCATAGCGGTTCCGTTGCTGGACTCCCACATGGCTGGCCCTGGTTCCTAGTCCCAGACCCAGTGGCTGAAACTCCCGCCAGGGAGGAGAGTGGAGAAGGGACTGGACGCGGCCATCTCTCCTGTGGGAGGGAGGGTGGTTTCTCCCTCTCCCTCTCATTGTCTCTGTCTCTTCCAGCGAACACATGCACCCTAAGGCAAAAACCTACTGAAAAAAAAAAAAATAGCAAGAGTTTCATTATCAGTGAGAGTAACTCCAGGAAGAAGTTCTAAGCCATGAGAAAGCGGAAGCTGGCAGTGTAAACGCTAAGACTGACCAGAGGAGACAGGCGTAGCACGCACAGGGCTGCGTTTCTTCTTGCAACCCGGAGGTCAATTCAGAGTAGGATTTCCTAAGATTTTGTGCATCTCCCCTAGTCTTTCCATGGTTTCAAGAGAAGGAAAGAAAATGCTTCAGAAAGCCTTGCCACGTAGGCCCCACACAGCTGCGTCCAGGGGACATGCGCCCCTCCCCACTTCCTCCTCCTCCTTTCCTGAAGTTAATGTCTCTTAATGAGCAGCAGAGACAGCGCATGGGAGGCACAGCCCCCTGCTGCAGTCTGAGCATGCCCCCCAGTTCCCGTGCTCCCCTAACAGGATTACAAGGCTAAAGCTGGATCCTTTACAGTGTGGAGGTGGAGCCCTTGGGAGATTTGGATTAAGGACGTGAGGACAGGGCCTGTGATGGGGTTCTGGGTGGTTTATATGGAGGGGGAGGCGACCAGAGATGCTCTGCCCCCAGATATGGCCCCTGTGCTGACCTCCAAACCGTGAGCTGAATAAACCTCTACTTCCACAATCACCCAGTTTCGGGTAACTTTCTTCTTTCTTTTTTTCTTTTTCTTTTTCTTTTTTTTTTTTTTTGAGAAGTTTTTGCTATAGGGGCATTTGCACTCTCCAGAGAGACAGACACACAGAGAGAAGGAAAGTAGGAAATCACCCCCCTTCTCCTCCGTCTCCTCTCGGGATTTGGGGCGCGCATGCAGAGGCATCCGCCTGATTTCCTTTCCTTTCTTTTCTTTTTTTGAGAGATTTTTGCTGTAGGGTGCATGAGCTCGCCAGAGAGATAGAGACAGAAAGTGAGAAATCTCCCCCCCCCACCCCCAGGATGGCCATGCCGCAATCCTTTCTCTTCCATTCTCCTCTCAGGATTTTGGGCACACACCCACACATGCCCAGCGTGAGTCTCTTTAATTTTTTATAATTATTATTTTTTAAATGTATTATTTTATCTTTTAAAATTTGACTAGAGAGGAACAGAGAGTGATGGAAATGAAAAAACAAGCTGTCAGGTCTGGGTCTTGAACTGTGGTCGGCCACATGGGAGTCTAGCACCTTAACCACCTTGCCACTTGCTAGCCCCAAGGTAATTTTTTCCAATTAGCAACAAAAAGGACGAGAACAACTCCAACAAGCCCAGATCACGGACACACGTGTGGTGGGTCTCGGGACATGAACCTGGAGCTTTCCTGTTGGGTCAGCCGGAACAGCATGGCTCTGCATTTTACCCCCAGGCCTCCTCTGTCCCCTGCTCGCCCAGCCCCTCCCTGCTGAAACCCCATCCATGACTGCCTGGCCGAGGCCCATCCAGCCCTCTCCGGTTTCCCTGGCACGGTGCGGTCGCTTTCGCTTCTGCGGGCACTGTCCCCCAACCACGGCTCCCAGGCTGCCACGTTTTCTCAGTTAACTCCTATGGGGTGACTCAGACGTGTCTAGTGACCGTCATCTGATATGTAAGGGTGTGTCCCCACAGGGAATGGAGTCACATTAAGAACGCCTGTCTATCCCTGCCCCAGTGGGGACCGGGTCCTGCTCACGCCTTGCCTCTGAAGCTCACACACTCCTGAAAGAAATCATGTCCCATGGCAAGGAAGGGGCCACACTAGTATTCTCAGTCAGCGCTGGGGCGGCCAGTGGTGTAATGGCAAAGGGAGCTGGATCCCACATAACCCACTGCGAGGCTTAAGTCCTGGATCCGGCAGCTTAAAAAACACAGCTGGTGCCTATGCGCGCCTGCCCAAAATCCTAAAGGGAAGATGGAGGAGAGGGGATTGCAGCGTGGTCATCCCCCCAGCATGATTTCTCACTTTCCCTCTCTGTCTCTCTCCTGGGACACACATGCCCTATAGCAAGTTAAAAAAAAAAAAAGAAGAAGAAAAAAAGAAAGTCAGCTTTGTCTGAGTCCAAAGTCCAAAATTACTGTTCACTCTTTTTTATTTATTTATTTTTTAATTGCCAGAGGGCAAAGAGCTCACTGGAAAGAGACAGAAAGATAGAGTCAAAGGGAGGAGAAAGCAACTCCAACGGGGCATAGTCTCACCACAGTACCTCCTCCTCCGTTTCTCCATCCCGGTGGGATTTTGTTGTTGTTGTTGTTATTGGGCGCATGCGCTCATCAGGAAGTCAGAGAAAGAGAGACAGAAAGCGAGAAATCACCCCCCAGGGGGAATCTTAGGTACACACACACACGCGCCCAGCATGAGTTTAAGCCACCAGATCTGGGACTTGAACCACGGTTGACTACATGGGAGTCCATCGGCATAGCCATTACGCCAACTGCTGGTCCTCATCCTCTTGGAATTTTGAGTACATGCACATGTACCTGGCATGTTTTTCTCTCTCTTTTTTTTCTGGCAGTTTTTTCCCTCTCTTTTTTTTTTTTTTTTTTTTGAGAGGTTTCTGCTATAGGGCGCATGAGCTTGCCAAAAAGACAGAGAGAGACAGAGAGACAGAAAGTGAGAAATCACCCCCCAGGGCAGATGACCACGCCACAACCCCTTCTCCTCCACTCTCCTCTCGGGATCTTGGGCACGCACGCACACGCACCTGGCCTGAGTTTAAGCCACCGGGTCCTGGACTCGAACCATGGTCAACTACATGAGAGTCCAGCGACATAGCCATTACACTAACTGCTGGTCCCCCAGGACCAGGATTGGACCTGGGTCAGCAATGTGGATCTGGCTAGTAGGCCGCAGGTCCAGTTCCGTACTGCTCGTTCTTACAAGCCGCAAGCATGGAGGCTGCGACTGCAGTAGGGACCCGGGGCTGAGAATGCGTTATCTGTTGCCATACGCCCTTGGGGGGCTTTTATCCAAGTTGGCATTTCCCCCATGAAATTCTTCTGTTGTCAAAAAAATGATGTCACCTTTTTGGGGGACCCACATGCCCAGAGCCCTGGGAAACTTACTTTTTTTTAAGAGAGAGATTTTTTTGCTACAGGACACATGCGCTTGCCAGAGAGACAGAGAGAGTCAGAGAGACAAAAAGCGAGAAATCACCCACCTGGGTGATTTCTTAATGCCCACACTGCAATCCTTTCTCCTCCAATCTCCTCTCTGGATCATGGGCACGCCCGCACATATGCCCGACATGATTTTTAAACTGCCAGGTCCAGGACTTGAACTGGGGTCAACTACATGAGAGTTCAGCAACGTAACCGACTATGTCATCTGCCGGTCCTGGGACACCTTACTTTTATCTATGCCACTTCCCAGATTACTAAATCCAAATTCTACTCATTCTTCAAGGTCTCGTTTAATTTTTTTAGGTTCCTGATAGAACGCTTGTGCACACGAATCGTGCGAGAGAGAGAGCAGCACCTTCCACAGGCATGGTCGTGCCATGATTCTCTTCCTCCAGCCCTCCAGCCTGCCAGGATGCTGGGCATGCAAGCACCCGGCTGTTTTCAGGCCACCCTGACCAGTGGTTCCATCCATGCTCAGCATGTGGCTTCCAGCTCTGCAGCCTGGCACATACTGACTGCGCCATAGAGTGGGCCTTTAAGATTCCATTTAAATAGCACCTTCTAGAAGTTTCTCCCCTATTGACAGTGACTCTTCTCCATGACTTTGTCTTTTTCTTTTTTTGGAGAGGTTTTTGCTATAGGGCGCGTATGCTCAACAGAAAGACAGAGAGAGACAGAAAGCGAGAAATCACCCCCCAGGGGGATGGTCACATTGCAATCCCTTCTCCTCCATGCTCCTCTTGGGATTTTGGGCATGCACACACACGTGCCCAGCATGAATTTAAGCCACTGGGCCCAGGACTCAAACTGCAGTCGGCTACATGGGAGTCCAGTGACAGAGCCATTATGCTAACTGCTGGTCCCCATGGTTTTGTCTTAAATTTTACTTAAGGTTGTATCCAAATAACCCTCCTAATATCAGGGGTCCTTAAGAGTAGGAAATGAGTCTTCTGGAGTCTAGGATGTTTGCTGAATGAATAATGAACCTCCAGCTCTTCTGGGTGGCCATTAAGCTCCCTGCCTTGGTTTTCATCATTTAGTCCTCTAAGTTGCTATTTCTATTGAAATACCAGGAGTTTCTCGCTGGGAGACTGCTATGGTTTGAATGTGTCCCCCCAAAACCCATGTATTGGAATTTAGTTGTATTGTCAACTTGATGATGGGATTAAGAGATGGGGTTGGGCCAGCAGGTGGCATAGTGGTTAAGGCATTGGACTCCCATGTGGCTGACCATGGTTCAAGTCCTGGACCTGGCAGCTTGAAACTTGCATCAGGTGCATGTGTATGTGTACTCAAAATCCAAAGAGGAGAATGGAGGAGAAGGGTTTGTGGCATGGCCATTCTCCCCAGGGGGTGACTTCTTGCTTTCTGTCTATCTCTCCAGCAAGTACATGTACCTTATAGCAAAAATCTCTTAAAAGAGAGAGAGAGAGAAAGATGGGGCCTTCAGGAGGTGATTGGCATTAGATAAGATCATCAAGGTGGGGACCCCATGATTGAATCTCAGTGGATTTATAAGGAGAGCGAATGAGATAAACACCTGGACGCATGGACAAAGACACACACGCTCTTGCCACGTGAAGCCCTCTGCCACCTCTGGATTCTCTAGGGAGTCCCTGCCAGCAAGAAGACCCTCAACAGATGCAGCCCTTGACCTTGAACCACCAAACTATGAGCTGAATAGACCCTATTCCTTTATAAATTACCCAGTCTGTGGTGTTCACTTAGTAAACAACAGAGAATTGATTAAAACAGACAATGCTTTGTTTCATATCTAACCAACATGCTTAACACGACTGGATGTATGTAGGAAAGGAAGAATGGCTACGTGAAAGGATAGATGGAAGAGTAGCCACATGGATGGATGAAAGAGGGATGGATGGATGGACAGAAGGTGGGTACATGAAAGATGGAAGAAGATGGGTGAATGAAAAGAAGGGTAGATGGATGGATGGAAGGTGGATGGAGGGAGGAAAGGTGGATGGATGGATGGATGGATGGATGGAGGGAAGGTGGATGGATAGATGGATGGAAGGTGGATGGATGGAGGGAAGGTAGATGGATAGATGAGTGATGGATGGATGGTAGATGGATAGAAGGTAGATGAATAGATGATAGATGGATGGAAGGTGGATGGATAGATGGATGGAAGGTGGATGGATAGATGAGTGATGGATGGAAGATGGATGGTGGATGGATGGAAGGTGAATGGATGGATGGAAGGTGGATGGATAGATGAGTGATGGATGGATAGATGGATGGTGGATGGATAGAAGGTGGATGGATGGATGGATAGATAGATAGACGTACAGTGGATGGATAGAAGGTGGATGGATGGATAGCTAGACGTACAGTGGATGGATAGAAGGTGGATGGATGGATGGATGGATGGATGGGAGGTGGGTGGATAGATGAGTGATGGATGGAAGATGGATGGTGGATGGATAGAAGGTGGATGGATGGATGGATAGATGGAAGGTGTATAGATGGAAGGTGGATGGATGGATGGATGGATGGATGGATGGGTGATGGATGGAGGGAAGGTGGATGGATAGATGGAAGGTGTATAGATGGAAGGAGGATGGATGGATGGATGGGAGGTGGGTGGATAGATTGATGAGTGGATGTATAGATGGAAGGAGGATGGATGGATGGATGGGAGGTGGGTGGATAGATTGATGAGTGGATGTATAGATGGAAGGAGGATGGATGGATGGATGGATGGATGGATGGAAGGTGGATGGATGGATGGATGGGTGATGGATGATGGATGAGTGGATGGAGAGAAGATGGAGAGATGAAGAATCAGGGATGGAATTATCAAGGACGTGTGCATGGATAGGTGAAAGGACGGGTGGATGGGCTGATGAGTGGACGAAAGAGTGAGGGGCGAATGAGCGATGGACGGAGGACAAGGTGGGGAGCCTCCTGTGCATACTGATGAGTGGGAGGACGGAACAGTGGATGAGTGGCTCTAACAGGCATCTGGGGAACCCCCCCAGCAGTACCACGCCAAGCCCCAAGAAGCACTGCCAGGGAGATAAAGGGGGCCTAAGTCGATGACCAGAGAAGATGATGAAGTGCTCAGGCTAGGAGAGGTGGTCCAAGCAGACCTGAGAAGGGGAGGATTTGGGGGTTCAAGTCTTACCCTTCACAAGAGCCTTCAAAACGATAGTCTCAAATTCCTCCGCGCCATCCTCGGATGAGTAGACCGTCAGCAGCTCCTTCTGGGTCATAACCCTCTCCACCTGCAGACACCACACTCTGCCTCCTCAGCCCAGTCGCCCTGGGCCCTGTCCAGCTACAGGCGAGGGGCGTCAGGACAGGGAGGGGCAGGGCGCTCACTGCCCCGGAGTCCGGGCCCCCAGCCCTGCCCGTTAGGCCCGGGCATCCAGACCCTGTACCTTCAACATCTTCTCATCACCACCGATCAGGAGGAGGAGGACGGGGATGTCGATTCCAGTCCCTAAGGAGCGAAGACAGCAGAGGGCCTTTGCTGGGATGGGAGAGAGCACAGTCCCCAGGACACAGTCCCCAGGGGTCCCTGGGCAGACGCGGCCTCTTCCTGATCCTGTTCTGAAGCTGATGGGAACCTTCGGTGCTTCGTGCACTTTGGGAGGAGGATGAGGGCCTGGACTCCTGGGTTCCTGGATCAGGCAGGGGCTTCTCTCTCTCTCTCTCTCTTTTTTAAGTCTGTTTACTGGGAGCCAGCAGATGACACGGCGGTTAAGGCACTGGATTTCCACATGGCTGACCACAGTTTGGGTTTGAGTCCGACCCAGAGGCTTGAAGAACATGCTGGGCGCATGTGCATAGATGCCCAAAATCCTGAGAGGAGAATGGAGGGGAGGGGACTGTGGCAGGCCACGCCCCCCATCTCTCTCTAGTGAGCACATGCGTCCTATGACAAAAACCTAAAAAAAAAAGTTACACTTAAAAAATATCTTTCTTTCTTCCATGATAAAGAGAGAAAAACAGGTTCCCATGATGGGGTCTCTGTGCTGCAGCCTTCGCCTTTACCTGCTGCCTCAGTGAGCCAGGATCACGGGTGCAGGCACACCCATCCCATGCAGGTGCACCTCAGCTCTCGAACCCGGGGCCTTCCACACCAGCCCTGGGATCACAGAGCATGAGCTCTGCCTGCACAGCTGCCCGCAGCGGGTGTTCCTGCCCAAGTCCATCCAGGGGCCGAAGGGCATGCGTGAAGGGCATGAGCGTTCGAATGGAATGTACCAACTCTATCCCCACTAAAGTAAGAGACTGACCCACGTCACGTGCCACTCAGCCTGCAGTGTGTGCTATGTACTAACGCAAGAGATGAGGTCACTGGAAAGAAGGCTGGTTTTTTTTTTACTTTTTTTTTTTTTTTGAGAAGTTTTTGCTATAGGGCACGCGCGGTCGCCAGAAAGACAGAGAGAGACAGAGAGACAGAAAGCGAGAAATCACCCCCCGGGGGGATGGCCACGCTGCAATCCCTTCTCCTCCATTCTCCTCTTGGGATCTTGGGCACACACGCACACGTGCCCGGCGTGAGTTTAAGCCACCGGGTCCGGGATGCGAACCGTGGTCGACTACATGGGAGTCCAGCAACATAACCATTACGCTAATTGCTGGTCCCGAGATGTTATTTTTTTAAAGAACTATTTTACTTTAACTTTATTTATTTATTTATTTTATTTTGACCAGAGAGGGACAGAAAGAAAGAGAAAGCGAGAAAGCGAGTCTCCAAGTCTGGGACTAGCAGTCGACCGTGTGGGAGTCCAGAGGCCCTCAATCACCACACCTCCTGCCAGCCCGTAGAGAGAGATTTTTGCTATAGGGGTACATGTGCTCACTGGAGAGACAGAGACAGAAAGTGAGAAATTACTCCTCCCCCAGGGGGGACGGCCATGCCACAATCCTCCTCCATTCTGTTTTTGGGATTTGGGGCATGCACGCACACGCACCCAGCGTGAGTTTTAAACCACCAGGTCCAGGATTTGAACCACAGCAGACTACATGGGGAGGGGGAGCCCAACGATGTAACCATTACGCCATCTGCTGGCCCCTTGACTGGTAAATTTCCAGTGCCAGAAAGCACATGCTTACTGGCACTAGCAGTTGGCGTAATGGCTGTGTCACTGGACTCCCACGTAGTCAACCGTGGTTCGAGTCTCGGACTTGGTGGCTTAAACTCACACCAGGCGCGTGTGCGTGTATGCCCACTATCCCGAGAGGAAAATGGAGGAGAAAGGATTGCACTGTGGCCATCCCCCCCGTGGGGTGATTTCTCGCTTTCTTCTCTCTGTCTCTCTCTGTCTTTCTGGCGAGCACACGCGCCCTATAACAAAAACCTCTCCAAAAAAATTTTTTTTTTAACCTAAGGATGGTCATGAGAACAGTATAATGAGTGTACAGACGGCATTAAAGGAATAAGAGAAGTGTAGGGAGCGAATGCGGCCACTTTGAGCAAACAGGTGACTTTTAGACACATGTAGAAATGTAGCTTTCCGGGAAGGTATTTGCAGGGCAATGAACGCATTACCATTTGAATACGTTGGCTGTCCGTGTTTGACACTGCAGAGCTGATTAAGGAAGTCGCATGTGTTCATCAGAATCTGCCCAAGATTAGGAAAAACACCTAGAACGACCTGGTTCCTGGCGGCTTCCCACCTTCACTGATTAACATCTGAAAACTACTTACTTTACATTCCACCTCTCCTGCCCCCATTTCCTTCCCTTTAAAACAATAAACCTGGGCACAATTCCGGCTGTGGCTGCTTTATCAGAAAAGTCCGGAATTCCGATCCCCACTTTTCTATTCTTCTGTGTCCTTGTGTGTTTATTTAATGTGTATTTTCTTTCCTTTTTCTTTTTTTCTTTTTTTGGAGAGGTTTTTGCTATAGGGTGCATGCGCTCACCAGAAAGACAGAGAGAGAGACATAGAGACAGAAAGCGAGAAATCACCCCCCAGGGGGGATGGCCATGCCGCAATCCCTTCTCCTCCATTCTCCTCTGGAATCTTGGGCACGCACGCATACGCGCCCCGCGTGAGTTTAAGCCTCTGGGTCTGGAACGCGAACCACGGTCGACTACGTGGGAGTCTAGTGACATAGTCATTGTGCTAACTGCCAGACCCAATATACAAAATAAGAACACATGTCTCTCTGTCTCTCTCTATCTCTTCTCTCTGTCTCTCTGGTGAGCACACATGCCCTGTAGCAGGAAAAAAAAGAAGTCTTCAGAGTTATGGTGACATGTATTTTATAAAATAATGGAGTTTACCCTAATTACTTAACTAAATCTATAGAGATTTTTCCATTCAATAAATTACCTGAAAATATTCTATTAATAAAAAGGATAATTTAAAATTTAAAAACTCTGGGAGCAATTGTTGCAGAAAAATATAGACAACAAAAAATAGTAAGAGTGTGTTTGAGGCTAAAGGAAAATTATACCAAGATGGAGACTTGGATCAACAGGAAAAACAATCCGGGATGCAAAGGGAATTCCTTCGTGGTAACAGAACCAGCCGATACCCTGATTGTGGCCCTTTAAGGGGTCTTCAAAAAATTGATGGAAAATGCATATTGTGCCTTCTGGCCCAACGCCCAGTGAAAAGCCAGCACGCATGTGCATCTGGGGCGGGCCTGGCACTGCCCTTTAGCCTGAAAGCCTCTTCCCTAAACCTCTCCTTGCGGACCGGCACCCAGCCAAAAGCCAGGTCGGATGGTCTCTGTCTCCGGTCTCTGTCTCGCTCTCTTCCTCTCCCTGTCTCTCGAAATTTTTCATATATATATGTTTTTTAAAATCTGTAGGGACTGTCTCCTGTCTCGGACTTCTCCTTTCTCTTGCTGATTTCAGAATCCACGTGAATCTGAGGTGGGCCTAGCCCCGCCCTTTCATTTTTTGACATTTTTTCGCCTTGTACTTAATATTTCCATGCTTCACCCCTGGCACTGTGTCCCTCTCTCTAATTTTTCCCTTTGTCTTAATTTTTTTTTTTCCTGGAACCAGCAGTTAGTGTAATGGCTATGTCGCTGGACTACCACGTAGTCACATGGTTTGAGTCCCGGACCCGGTGGCTTAAATTCACGCCGGGCGCGTGTGCGTGCGTGCCCGAGATCCTGAGAGGAGAATGGAGAAGAAGGGATTGCGGCGTGTCCATCCCCCCTGGGGGGTGAATTCTTCCTTTCCGTCTCTCTGTCTCTCTGGCGTCTCTCTGTCTCTCTGGCGAGCTCACATGCCCTATAGCAAAAACCTCTCCAAAAAAAAAAAAAAGAAATACAAAGGACCCCACATAGAATCAACCCAAGATCTTCCCCAAGGCACATTGTAGCCAGATTGAGGAAAACCACAGAGACAAGATACTAAAACTGGCAAGAGAGAAACGTCAAGCTACTGTCAAAGGACATCCCATGAGGCTAAATCGGGCCTCTCATCAGAAACAGGGCGAGCGAGGAAGAAATGGGAAAATATATTCAAAGTGTTAAGTGAAAAACAATTTCAACCAAAACTACTGTACCCAGCAAGATTATCCTTCATATGGGAAAACAAGATAAAAACATTCTCAGATAAACAAAACCGGAACAAGAATTAACCAACCACAGACCACCTCTTCGAGAAGTTCTGAAGGGAGCAGTACACCAGGAAAATGAAAGTCAGACAAATGAGAGAACAAAAATGACCAAGAAAAAGGCCAACTTAATGGCAGGGACAAGTTCTGAAATAGAAATAACAACGTTGAATGTTAACAGAAAGGTCAGACCACATAGCACTGCAAATTCAACCAGAGAGAACACGAGACTGAACTGGTGAAACAGAATTCTACGACTTTTCTAAAACATTGCCGATCTTCTATGCTGTGTCTTCCAGATGTAAGGATTTTTGTTTTATTTTGACTTGTTGATAGGTTCAGCAATTTGTGAAAAGAAAAGAATTTTTAAAAATGAAAAATAAACTTTTCTCCCTCCCTGACCCCTCTGCAATTGGAAAATATTTATGAGCATTCCTATTTTGTGGCAAAATGGTTATTTACATGAGTTCAGTAATACAATAGTATCTGTTACCTTGCATCAGAAATTGAATTCTTATGGGGCTTTGTGCAAATAACA